CCCCAAAACCCCAAAACCCCGGAAGTTGATTTATAATATTATCAAGGATATATTTTTAATTTATTATAATATCAATGAGAGAATTAGCATAATAAATTAATCAAATAGCATTATATTATTCTACTTATATTTCCATCAGGGTGATTTCTCTTTAAACTTCAATTAAAAGAAATGTCTAAACTCTATGATTGTGTTAACTTGACTAACACATTATCGAATTATTCATTCGGTATAGAAAAATGCTACTAGTAAGTAATCAATAAAATTTCTAAACTGAATAATAAATTATGATTTAGTCAAGGAATTATATCAATGGCATCATTTCTACTTGTGATTGTGATAATTTTCATTCTTGCTGTTTCATATAAACAAAAAAGGACCAAATTTGCAAAATTTATGTTCAAAGTAAAATCTATAGCCTTACTGATAACTGGGCTTGAGCTTTTAAGTATTCTTATTTATATTCTCATTAAGTTTATTAGATAACGGACTTCATTACACTGTATATCCTGTTTAATCAATACCTTATTCAGTCATTCTGATGGAGAGTTTGAGATTTTTTGGAATATTTTTTGTGTGCTATTTTTATTGCAAAAAGTGCGCTTTATTCATCCCAGAGAATAAGGGCTGGATTGCTTTCTTGAACTACTTTGTTCTGGTAAACATCGTATGGCATATCTTCGTGTTCATACTCTCTGAAATTGCTTTCAAGTTTGTTTATAGTGAGAGCTATCTACTTTGTCAAACATCAATATTTTTAATGCTAAGAATATCATCTGAGATTACTTGCGTTTTATTCTTCATTCTGGGAGTGATAATCACTAAAAATGTAAAAAAAGAAATAAACCGTAGATCCTAAGCTCTCTACCGAACACAATATGAAACAAAGCTAATTCTTTCTTAAAATAAATCGATTTTTAAACTCTGGTAAGTTTAAGCCAAATTATATTTCTATGTAAAAATCTTTTTGATTTAACAAATTCTTTTTATGCTTATAGGGTTGTGATTGTTTCGTATTGTCTTGTTTCTATCATATGCATAGTTTTTGATTCAGTGATGTATTAATCTTAAAATTGCCAAATGATTTCCTCCAATAAAACTATGAATGGACTTATTTGGCTTTTTGATAGATCAGTTTCTTACTGCTTGTGGACAATTATAGTTATCTATGTCTTCTGGCCAAAATACTCAAGAAATAACAATAGTGGGGAACTGCTAAGATAGATAATGAGCATTGAGGCAGCTGAGAGGATGAAATAAAGAAAGACAACCTCCACGATTATTGATACCAGTGTTGATGAAAGCCAGCTTTCAGAGGATAAAATTAACGAACATTTAACATACTACCAAACTGCTCTTGATTTTAAATCCAGATAAATAACAACGAATTGTAATGAAATTTCTGAACTAAATACCATGATCGAGGGGAATACAATGGCTCAATAAAGACTTTAAAATCATAGTACATTGACCATTTCAAATTAGTATTGCAATAATAGCACAAGAAAGTTATAATCAATCGGGGTAATAGATGATAAAGACGGAAATTCATCTGCTCATATTAATTTGGGATATAATTGGAGAGTATCTAATTAGCAATTATTCAACATGAACAATGTTTTCAAAAGAGGTGAAAGGGATACTTTGAAATCATTAAGTGATTAGAATGTATCTGGCTAATCTCTATGATTAAACTAAATGCATTATAATTAAGGAACAGGTACTTATAAAATTAAAGCTAATGGCAATGATATTTATAAAACTATTTTAATAGATTGGTATTACTATATTATCAAATTAAATACTCAAATCAAATATTCAGTTAAGGGGTTTTGGGGTTTTGGGG